GCTAAGGGAAACGTCTGTGGGGGGCGGGGGCCAATTCGGTGCTGGCAGTCCCTGCTGGGGGCTCAGCCTGCCCCGGGGGGGGGCGCGGGGCTCTCCCCCACCCCCCGGTTTATCGCCTGCCTGTGTGGTTTGCGGAGTCGGGCCCAGCTCCATGAAATCACTGGGGGTTTCGCTCACTAAGTTCCTCTTCAGACTTTCCTTAGTTCTCCTTTAGGGCTGAGGACGGTCACGGAATGCGCCCGGAGTGTGGCCCCAGCGAGGAGCTCAGCGAGGGATGGGGCTGCAAGAAAAAACACACTCCCCATTCCCTCTGTGAGCTGAGAGCAAGGGGAGAGCCAAAAAAATTATGGAAGGGTTTTATGTGCTTTGTTTTTCTCTCTCTCTTTTTTTTTTTTTTTTCCTTTTTTTCTTTTTTTTTCTAAAAAAAAAAACCTCGGACAGTTTCTAAATGCAGCATCACCTAAAAAGCAGCAGATCAGTTATTTGTCTTTAAAATAGCCTCTGGGGAGGAATGCAGGTGGGGGCAGGAGCTGGGGACGCAGGTGGCCTGCGGCGAGGCTGATGGACACCCTTGGGCACCCCTGGGTGTCCGGGGGCTTTCCCAGCTGGCTCCTGTGAGCCTGGGGATGGGACCGTGCTCCGGGCACCGAATCCCTTCCCCTGAGCGGGGGCTGTGATTTCCCACCCCGGGAAGCCGGAGCATCGTCCTACCAGCGCCTGCTTCTCCTCCAGAAACAGCATCTGCCGGGAGACCCTGCCCCTGCTTTTTGGAAAAATGCTTTTAGACTATTCCTTAGCCCCGCTCTCCCAGCGCGCTGCCAGCGGGACGGCTGCGGGCACAACGCGGGAGAAGGGATGGAGTTATGGAAGAGCCCGTGCTCGCCCAAGCCTTACCACTTTCTGGCCCTGGGGCCGCGCGTGGGGAGGTTTGCCCGGTAACCGGTGACGCCAAAGCGCTTTGCTTTTAATTTCACACTCGGGAGTTTCGCTTTCACGGTGGTGTGGGGTGCTGCCGCTGGAGCCGGTTTGATGCAGCGTGTCCCGGCGAGACCAAGCCCCATGGCATCGGGGACGTGTCACCCCCGGGCTGCCCCGGCTCCTTGTGTAAAATCACCTAAAATTATCATTTTTTGGGGGGGGGTGTGCAGGGCTGCTCTGGCCCACGTAGCACTTAGCGGGGCTGTGCAGTGGGGACCCACGCTGGTCCCCACCCTGCCCCACTCCCACTGGTGCTTTGGGGGTCACCCACCTCGAGGGGTTGCTTCTCCTTTCTTTTTGGGGGTTCAGCCCCTCCCCGAAGGCACCGCAGGGAGGGCAAGGCGGGTGGCCCAAGAGGCAGGAGGGTCTTGAAAGCCCTCGGTGGTCCTTTAATTGTGACCCCCCCTCAGCCTGAGAGGTGCTGGCCAAGCACCCCACCCGGGGGGGGGTCCAAAGTGTCCTTCAAGGCAGGGTTTGGGCTGAAGCACAGCTTTTCCCTGGCAGGGAAGATGAGTGAGGAGGGGTGTACCCTGACGGCATGTCCCCATGGAGGGTCCTGCTCAGCCTTTGGTGTGGGGAGCCCTCCCCATGGCATCCCACGCGCTGTATCCCATCTCCCACCTCCCCCATCCCACTTCTCTCACCCCGTACCCCACATCCCACCTCCTGCCCTCCCCCCTCAGGGGTTCCCAGAGCCCCCAGACCCATGACACAGGGTGTCACCAGCTTGGGTGTCGTGACCTCCCCGTGGCGGTGGGGTGGGAAGCGATGTCCCACAACGTGGCCGCCGTG